ATAGAACTCCGACGATCTAGACTGCACAAACTGTGTGAAAGCATTTTGTACTGCCTCCTGGGAAGAAAACTTCTTGTCACGTAGATAATTGTCCAAATCACGAAAAAAATGGTAGTCCGTTGGAGCAAGGTCTGGTGAATACGGAGGATGACGAATGGTTTCTAACTGCAGTTCCTGAAGGGTCAAAATGGTTTCTCGTGCTGTGTGAGGTCTCGCGTTGTCGTGGAGCAATAATGGTGAAGATCGATTCATGAGTCGGGGCTGTTTTACTGCTAGTTTTGTCAACATGGTTCGGAGTTCGGCACAATAGACATCTGCCGTTATTGCTTGACCAGATCGGAGAAAATTATAGTGAATAACACCATGCTGAGACCACCAAACAGTTACCATTACCTTTTTATTGGTAAGTTTTGCTTTAGGACACTGTTGTGGCATTTGACCTAGGGTCAGCCATTGCATTTTTCTTTTCCGGTTATCATAAAGAATCCACTTTTCATCACATGTTACAATTCGATCCAATATTCCTTCATTTCTGTACCGGTTCAACAAGGCAACACAAGTTTCAACACGCGTTTCTCTCTGCAGATCAGTCAAATCATGAGGCACCCATTTTTCGTATTTTTTTATTTTATTGATTTGACGCAAGTGAGTCAATATTGTGGGTAAGGTAACGTTAAACCATGCCGCTAATTCCTGGGTAGTTTGACTAGGATCGGCTTCCACTATCTCTCTTAATTCATCGTTATTCACCTGTGTGGGCGGTCTTTCTCGTTGCTCGTTCTTTAAGTCGAAATTTCCATCACGAAAGCGTTTAAACCAAAATCGCACGGTGCGTTCATTAGTAGACCCCTCTCCAAACGCAGCATTGATATTGCGGGCTGTTTCTGCCGCGTTAGTTTCGCGTCGGAACTCGTATTCAAAAATCACTCGAATTTTCGCAGTATCCATCTTTCTTGTCTAAATTGAATAACAAAAACAATTGAAAGTCGATATTCAAATGTTTCAAATTTAAAAAAAAAAATCACAGAAATCATTTGAAGAAAGTTTCATTCGAAAACCTCAAACCATAAAGATTCTATGAAAATTCAAAGAACCTATTGCAATAAAACGGCAATTTCATACTTTAACCCCTAATATTATCGACGATTTCATCCAAACAATTGACCTTTTTATCTCAGTATACGGAAAAAAAGGAGGAAACATTATAACTGGTGTCATGAAGATTGCAGAGGGTCCCGCCATAAATATAGCATTCATAACAATTTGTCTGACGCGACATTGGCCCCGAAAGGCTATCCACGTGACTTATGTTTTTGCTGATAAAGTATCAGACAAAAGTATGACTAACATTTCAGTTAATGTGCACAAAGACAGCTCCATAATGGAGGCGAAACAATATCCAAAGTTCTTTAATCTAGTCAATACAAACGAAAATATCAACTTATTAAGAGGGAGAAGAGGAAAAATTCCTAATCTTCGATTTGATTTTAGAGGGGTATATCCACTTTAAAGTTAAAAACAAAATATTGTATGAGTAACGACACGATATATTCAAGCACAGACATTAATCAGAAACATAAAACAATAAAGTTTCCTCGATAGATAAAAATCACGAAATGACCTCTAATTTTCACATTTTTTCGATTCATCCTCGAAATGCTACAGGTTATTAGGACAAAAATTAGATAATTAATTATATTTATGCATGATCGACAACTGTCACTACGGATTTTTTTTTAATCCCTTTATTTTTAGAGTTATTCCGCTAAAACGAATTTGGTACTTTTAATGCGCAAAATTCAACATCTGTCGCACGTCACGCGGACTTCAGGCATATATTTGTTTCACAAATTTGGGCGGAGCCAACGTCAAAACTTTTTTGGCATGCTCCCTCTTAACGTTTCAGAAAATAAGTTTCAATTTGTAAAATGCGCAATTTTCGTTTACACAAAGTAGAACTTCAAAAAAACAAACAAAACGTAAAAAAAATATTATTGGAACTCCATTGAAGGACCAACGTCACAAAGTTCAGCGGGAGTTATAATTGGATTTATTGTGATTCCAATGATACCTAATTGACAAGGAAGAAATTTAAAAAACTGAACCGTATCACTTACAGCCAATGAATCATGTTGGTTCAATGCAATCTTGCGATTACTTTAACTAATGAAAGGATAATGTGGCTTATTTGCAAGAAAATTTTGATTATTATATTGTAATGCATTGATTTCAAAGAGCAGCAATGGCTGCTTTTTGAAATCTTTCATGTCGCACACATGTTTAAATAAAATAAGTATGTTTATCAAGTGCTGATAAAAACTCGTAACAAGCGATAAAAACTAACAAATTCACACTGCAGCAGGAACATTAATTACTAATCGAAATATTAATTAATCACTATTATTTATTAACATAACAAATATAATTCAAACAGAAATCTTATATTGACATAAATCAATGACCAGTACAAACACGAAATATTATGATTATTTTATTCTTTTCCTGATATTCCAACAACTAGTTAATAATTTAATGAATAACTACAAAAGTTTTAAAATTCCAATACATTTATAAAGAAATGCACCATACATTATCTTTGAACTTCCTACCTAACAATAAATTTCAATCACTAATCACCCAATCCTAGCAAGGCAAGGCTACCGATTCTTTTCTTTACCTTATGCATTTATTAGTAACATATATCTGTGGTTGACAGCATTTAAGTGCACACACGATCTTGTAAAGAAGCACATGAAGATGCCAAGTTATGGGACGAACAAGTTGTGCACCTGGTGCTAAGCGACACCTGTCTATAACAGTTGCTGTGTCACTCAGAGCTTTAATTCACAGATCTGAGGGACACTGCCACTGCGCCTGTCATTCTGAGACATAAGTTGACAAGTTCCACGTTCCAGCTATATCACAAGCACCCGTACCCTTCAAAACTGCAACACAGTAGGTAATACACATATTACTGCTTGGCGGCAGAAATAGGTAAGGTGGCAGTACTTCCGTAGATGAACCATCAATCTATGCTGAATATGTGAACAACATGTAATTATGAATACATACAATACTATTTCTTTTGTTATCCAAAGCAGCCAACAAAAGGTAGAAACCCAACAACAGGCATTAGCAGTACAGACAACAACAAATGTGTTATGAACTGGCTTTCTGTACCCATAATTATCTTGGAAACAGCCGGTCCAAACAGCAGGTCCATTGCAGTAATAATTAGTGTGGCATTTCCACCTACAGTTTTGCAAAATCCCTACTATCACCTAGTTAGAAGAAAAGGTAAAGAATATATACCCTAATTTCAAGTAATTTAGAGAACAGATTGATATCTCCAATGAACTACATGCTAACTCTATTTATTGGCTATTTTCTGTTATTTTCGTAAACAGCCATATTTATTTGTCAATATTACGATCCCTGAATTTTGTGAAAAAAGTAAAGAAACAAAAAACAGAACAAGTCCAAAAAATAAGTTGGCGTAGTGTTGGTTGGAGATATCAAGATAATACCACAATGAAGCAATACTCACAGTTTTTCATAGTGTATGTAACATTAAGCCTCGCAGCAAACTGTACAACTATGCAGGTCACATTCTTCTCATCATAATGCCACGTGCCCTGGGTTGGTGCAGGTAAGGGAGTAGGGGCTGGAGGAGGGGTCGGTTTAGGGGGCTCAGTGGGCGGCACCTCAGTGGTCGATGTTGTGGAAGTTGAACTGGGAGTGGTCGGTGCTTCTGTTGATGATGTGGTAGAGGAGAGAGTGGTGGAGCTTGTTGTTTCTGGAGCTGGAGTAGTAGTGGTTGGCTTCGGTACTGTTATGGTCACCGGTTTTTCCGTTGAAGCATCTCCTTGACCTGTGAAGACAATTTCTATTGAATCTGATGCACCTTGTAATCATAGTATTGTTTAGTCTGTCATTATTAGACTTTAATAAGAACAAAGTCATTTTTTCGATGTAATTTTCTGTACCTACACGACCGACGAAAATTTTAGAAATAAGCCAAAATAAACTGCTTTCAAACCCCAAAACATCATACAAATGGTAAGATCTACTGAAATATGCGTGTAACTAGAAGCAAATTAGGTCAGGTAACAGTTTTCGCATCATGCAAGCCGATTCCCGTGACCTCGACAAGTCCGTAGGACCCATATCATACTGCTGTCAGACTTTCAAGTAGCATCGATGGTCGTCAACGCTTTTTTTTGTTCCCATTGCGCATAAAGCAGCGATTCCACCCAGTCCCCACGTAGCGCGATAATAGTGACAAAGAACGTAGACGCCATCCGCTGCGAAGAAACCATATCACTTACCTAGCACTACTAAACTACACAGCACAGCTGAAAACACGAACGCCTTCAATCGAAACATACTGAATTATTAGGAACAGAAACCGAAACACTTCACACTAAGATGACCAAAAATCTCACAGTTGAGGCGCAAATAAAATGACTCGATAACTATCCGGTACACGAACTGACAGAAAATGATTTCTAGAAAAATGACAATGTATTCTATTCGACAGCTGACCGATGTTGCTACCAAATATTTCAGAATACTACTATTTCCATATACAGCGCGATATGTTGAACGAGATATTTGAACTGAAATTGAATCCTGCACCGCGCCACGAGCGCATGTCAAGCCTTTCTACTTAAACAGTACTTTTAAAAATAATTAAATTTTCCTAAAAATAATAGGTAGTATTCAACCGTGACCATAGGACCTGTAAAGGGCCCGTAACGTTGGTTTGTTTAAAAAAAAACAAATATACGCATTTTAAATCCGGAAAAATAGTTTCATTTCATAAACACAGTATTTTTTTTCATATTTGGTATGGGTATCGGCTACTCATTCGCCTCTTTGGATATTTATTTCGTCAGTATTTAATACTAATATTATGTTTATATATTTATTTTTCTTACTGGAGATTGTATTCGTCAGTATTGACGTCCCAAACTGAGCGCACGACAGTACGTCGTGCGGGACAACTCCGATTAGTACCGCGTCGCACTGCACTTCACGAAAAAAACCCGCGTGTTATAGGTCTGACCTATTATGAGCACCTACCTGTCGAACTAAAAAAAGAATGTTGTGAGGAAACGTTCAGGTGCAGACTGAAGAACCTTTTTTGGAAAAGTCTCTTTACTCAGTAACAGAGTACACTCAAAGTACTTAATAAATAACCAGGCGAACAGTGAGCGCGTTATTTACATAGACGCGTGTTCTTGTTTCACTTCGCCATCCCACTTCACACGCCTGAATATAAAAAGGAGGCGTTAGTCCTCTAATCCCACAATACAAATTATTTATGTGCTTAAATTTGCCTTGTAAGAATTCTTTTTATAAAATATTGTATAATTTTTCCTAAATTCCTTATTCAATCTCATTTCTTTCAATTTTTATTTCTACCAAGTAGTAAAGTTTAGAGAATCAATAGCAACATTTTTTCAATTCTTATGTTGGCACTTTCATGTAAACAAAAATGCCAATATTAATAATCAAAATTTTTGTCTCTGTCTCTCTATCGCACCAATAAAGTAGGGTAGATTTTTAGAGATGTCAAATATTTTAAGGCGCGAAATTTAAAAACTTAAAAGTAGGTAGATACTGGAAAAATATATGAATTGCACGTGTTTAAAAATCTGTGGAAAGTGTTACAATAAATAATCTATTTTTATTAGTTTCATTTATTGTTTGACAGACACACAGACACAAAACTACTCATTACAATCATCAACCCAACGAGACAAACTTACACAAAATGTCGGTACAACGTAATAAAAAAAACTAAGGCAAATTTACATGAAGGCATACCAACATTGACCTACCAACGTATTTACACTCAACATACAAAAATTGCAAACTTAACTGCTACATATCATAAGACAATTTATTAAAGTCTAGTAATTAAAGTTTATATATTTAGGTTTATAAGTACTAGAAGGAATTTGACATCGTCCATATAAATAATAGATGAAAGTATTCTAGAATTACATTCTTCAAAATTACCATAGATATTAATTACCTTGGTATTACGTAAGCAATAGCGAAAAGCTTGAAGATTAACCCCCCAAAACATTGCATTTACAATTTTACCATTTCTTAGGATTAAGTATATTTACTTATTAATTAGATTAAAGAGTTATGTACCTAATTAACCAAATTAGATACCTAAATGTTTAAATTATATTTTATACTGTTTAACATCGATTAATGGACCGTGGCTACAAATTAAATACACATTGATAAATATGATTGACTTAGAAAAGTAACAAAAACAAAACGTAGTCATTCGGATGAACAAGCAAAATGTGTTGTTTTATAATATTTTAAAATAATTGTGACGTATTGTTTTCATTCGTTATTTAAAATTGTTCGTTCTTCGGGACAGGCTAAGGCGTCTAAACTATACTGCCAGTAGAAATATTATATATACATATAAGTAATGCGAGCAATGTTACAAATTATTAATGTTATATCACGCGACAACACTGTCGCGTAGGGTGCATACTGATCTGGCGAATGCGCCGCGAAAGCGCTGCATGTGCGCTGCACGCGTGCTGCATGCGTGCAGATAAATACATGGTCTGTACGCACCCTAATGTGACATCACGTATCACTTTCAAAAATTAAGCATCTAACTTAACATCATCCGACACAATATAGGTTTTTGCTGATTATTTGCTTCAATTATAATATAAAGGATTCATAAATCTATCCTGCTATGTTAACGTTATTTAAAAATTGTAATAGTTCCTTTACACTGCGCAGTATAGAATAGAAATAATTTATTCCGTAAATATAATGTCTGATCTAGTTTACGCGTATCAGTCCCAACAACGTTGCGTGTTGATTGTAATAATATTACGTAGCAAAAATCAAGGAGTGATGCTAATAGCATATCTCATTTTTAGTCTGTGTAATGTGAGTGATGGTGATATCACACTATAATGAATAAGAATAGGAAAACTTTATTGTGTTCGCCAAGACACACATGAATGAGCTTAAAAGTTATCATATTATACATTATAAACTTAAAATTATAGCATAATACAACAAATAGACAAAGAAAAGTAATTTGCACCAAAATGCGATTTACTTTTGTTAATAAATATAAGTAATAACACGAGTAAAAAGAAGAGTAATTAATGATACACACACACACCCACCCACACAAACACACATACACACACACACAAACAAACAAACACACATAAATATGTATATACGTATATATATATTAGTAAATGTTATATTAATAGCAGATACATTAACTGCCAGAAATAAATAAGTGTCACTAATTATGAGAAGACACTGATTTCCGTAACACAGGTCTTTGAACCTAGCTCGGAAGCCAGGGCCTACAATGACATGTAACTTTTCTGTTTAAATAAAGAATTTATTATTATTATTATTATTAATGATTTTCGGTGTCGCCACACAAACGGGACTTGCTCAGCGTTTAGCTACGGGCAGGATATCCTACCTATAGCGCTGGTTTTCAGCAAGCCTGAATGCAATGTGATTGTAATAGCACGGAGTAATATAATATATATGACGCAAGATGTGATAATATCACACTTTATTGCAATGTGATGGTAATGGCAAAGCAAGCACTGAGTGATGGGATAATGCTTAAAACGCATCTTATTTTTAGTCTGTGTGGTGTGGGTGATGGTGATATCACACTGTAATATAATTTTACGGAAGTGTTACGCGACGTTACATTACTTTTCGAAGCATATTTTTGCACATGTCTAACTGCCTGATCTTTGATAGTATTATTGATGGTGTAATGTGTATCGATGTTGTTGTTTTTTTAACGTTTACAGGATACGGCAGAATATCAGCAAGAGTTAATGGTCTACTAATCGCTTATTGGGTCAAATTTGAGATAGTAATTTTTAATTCAATCAGTCAACCAATCAAGCAGCCTATTACAGGCCACTGCTGGATATAAGCCTCCCCAAGCGTATGCCATAGTGCCCGATCACGCGTAATTATTATTATTATTAATTATTTTTGTTTATTGAATTGCAAATGTATTAAAATAATTTAGATTTTTTATTTTAAAAGTTACACTCTTTGTCTTTTGCGGTGTTAATGGAAAGCTTTGATTGATGGAATAAGTACTGGAATAAATAATGTGTGATTCAGCAGACTGCAACTGCTTCCCAGAGGAGTTTACTCGACGAAGAGTTCGAAGCGCGCGCGCCCGACGCGGCTGGTGCGATCGTAGTACTGCGTGATGTCACGGGACCAGACGCGACACTCCACGTTGATTAGCACGCCACCTGGCAGGTAAATGCATAGGATCATAATCTAGTTAACTGCCTACAAAGTCATTATAGAATTTCAAATAAACGAGTATTCAAATATACCAAAACGTAATAATAAATAATGTAGCTAAATAAAATAATGTTATCTGACAACTACCAAAGCATAGCAGTCTTTTTTTCCATAAAAAATGGCGCATTTTTTGTAGTTATAAGTTTCACGTGAATGAATTTTTAGTTTAAGTATATTGAGTTTTGAGTTTCGTAATTGTTTGTATTGACTAACAAATAATTAAGAAACTTAGCTCAATAAATAAATAATTAAATTTTTTTTTTCATATTTTTTCTTTTTTCGCAGTTCTTTATACTAGAGAGATAGCAATACATCTGTCTCGCACTTGCAATAATTTAGACCCTCTGATTGGTTGATTTTGTATTCAACTCTTTTAGTACACTATTCAGCGCTTTTAGATTAATATAAATGTAGCGACATTTGTCAATTATCCCATTTTGGTCCCAACTCTCCCCATAAGCGTTTTATTGAAAAGTACATGAAACTACTCGAAACACCTAACAGTTCAAGAGATTCAAGCAAGCGGCAAATATTTATTATGATGCCTTAAAGGGCAACGCTCAAATAAATGGAGAAATACTAAGTCTAGACTTTTTGCCATGGACCAATGGCGTCAACAAAATCAACAAAATAACGGGAAAAAGCTCCAAAGCGAAAGTTTTAGAAACTGCTGCAACTAAGGTTTCAACTTCACTGATAGTACCTACTAGTATGATTTTGCATGCTAACTTCTTTGCCAAACTATACTATACATGAGACATTCACTAGAAATACTTGTATACTTAATGTAATAGTCAAATGTTTAAGATACGTCATATATTCACCTAAAGTTTTTTTAAATATACGATACTCACGACGAGGATTCTCAAAGAAGACACCAACGAGCGGTCCGGGGATCTGGTCAGGCAGGCCGCGAGCAGATTGCGGAATGCGGTCGGCAGTGTGCAGGCGGGCAGTGGGGAAACCGGGAGGCATGTTTGCGGGAATGTACTGAATGGGCCCGATGTTCTCCTGGTCCGCAGGGAACTCGCCGTCGCATGACACCCAAATGAAGTCCCCGTACTGATGCGCAGGCCTTTGGTGCTATGTCAAAAAATAAAAACGGTGTCAAAGAGAAAAAAAAACCTATACAGAACAGATATTAAGGCGAAGCAGCTCTTTACCATAATTTGTCTCAAGTTTTCTGGCATGTCCATGGGGATAGGCAGTGGCACCGATATGTTATACGGCTCCGGGACCCAGTAATGAATCTGAGAACCAAAAACAAGTAAGTTTCAATGGGTAATTTCATTTTAGCAAACTTGATTTGTCTTCAGCAGAAACTATGTATTCATATATAAATAATAATTGTAAATTACAATGAAATCACTTACGTGATTGAGTCGCAGGAAGACGCAAGGCGTGCCAAGAGCGTAGCCATAAAATTCGTCAGCGGTACACGGAGACCACGTCCTCATGGCCAACTCGCAAGTTTCCGAGCGCATAGTGTACTGGTCTCGTCGTTTAGTCGAGCATGGAGCTCGTGGAGGATCTTCGGGGACCGTCGTCTCATATTCTGTTGCATGTCAATTACTTTGTATATAATTATAGTTACAATCTCAACCGATGTTAAGCAATTATGGTGCGCATTTTTCTAAAAGAATCCTATTCCCTTCTAATCACTCTAGCCTTGATTAACGTTTGGGGAAACATAGAATCACACAAACAGAGCTGCCAACAAATGGATGGCATTTCTGCTGTTATTAATTAGTGAAGTCCGGAACAACTGCTTGCAGTCGTGGCTTCGACTTCCTTAGTAAAAAGTAAAGTCAACATTTGGAATCATAAATAGTCTGAATACTCTGACAAGCTATAAGTAACATGTGTGCTTCTATTTCGACATCAACTGATAACTGCTTGCAATCAGTGTCGACTGTATGCAGTATTTTGGTGTGTAGGCTCCATAGTTTTAAGTAGCTCAGACACCAACCCATTTAAATGTTTCTTATACGGATTGCTTTTTTTTACTGTATTGCATCTCTAAATATGTCTTTGTAGGAATTTTGATTTCAATTTTTCAGCAGTCTTAGAAATCTCTTAGAATATTTGAGAAACAATTTTACTGCTAAAGTGGTCATCACAATCAAGAGTTTTAATAAACAATCAGTTAAACGGACAGTACAGCTCCTTGTGAAAGAGTTCGTCCAGTGTAGTATTGCTACCTTACCTATTTCTGCCGCCAAGCAGTAATTACTACCCGATTTTGAAGGGTAAGTAAGGGTGCTGGTTAAATTGCATGGACTTGTCAACTTATGTCTCAGGGCGAAGGGCGCAGTATGGCAATGCTCGTCAGATCTTTGCGGTTGAAAGTAGGTTGGTGTGTTGCTTACCATCAAACGCACGACTTGTACACGACGTGCATTTTCAGTTAAGTACATATTCAGACAAATAGTTACAATCCATTACAATTGCAGAAGACTGCAAAGCTGTGAAACGTACCCCTCAAGAAGTCATTGATCTTTTGCACCCAAGGATGCCAACTGCCAGGGTCCCTGAGTCGGAACTGTATGACAGGCTGCTCCCAGTGCGTGTAGTAGTCGTCGGAACGCGGCCACACCTCCAGATCTGTTGTGCAACGTAATGGCTTAGACAACATTGCTTTGAGCAAATGGATGTCGTCGCTAGGACAATGTAGGCAGACGTTCTCGTATGAAACAAATAAACTTAATGTCAATGACGCGAGTCTTATGTCTGATACCACGTCTGTTAAGTTAAAATTTTTATGCGACTTCAAAAAGGAGGGAGTTCTGAATTCGATTGTGTTTTTCTGTGTAGATATGTTACGCTATTTTTTCCGACATTCTTATTTGTTGGAAAGGAGGCAACTCAGTAGAGGTCGCATTCAAATTTAAAGAAATTGTTCCACCTCCAAGGGTGATGTTAGCGCATGAATCCGGTTTGTTGAATCTTATCTACTTTCCGATAACCGATTTCAATAAAACTTAGTATTAGATGCAATTTCAATGAAAATAAAATGTTGTGATAAACTGGAGCTTTGATGATGGAAGTAGCAGACAGATGGGAGGAATCTCCCAACAGTATACATCAACTACCTTATATTTGGACTCATATGATTTTTTTGACGAGGAATTTGAAGTACCTAAACGCTTTAACTATCTATCTGAATTCCATAATTCGTTTCAGGACGTGTTGTAAAAAAACTCGAGTCTGGAAGTCTACATTTTAGGATTAAGAAAGTCAGAGACTCCCTGCTCGATATATTACGAGCCTATCGAGTTTCCGAATAGACTGGAAGTTCGACATTATAGTGCCGGAGTCTAAGTTATGTAAAGAATCGTGGTCGAGTCTGGTAAGTATGACGAGCGGAGTCGTGGTGTGGCGTGTTAAGCTATAGTATAATTACTGTACCTGTAGTATAAGTACGTATTAATATCTTCTTCGTTTTTTAGATCACTGTATTGGGTTCTTGTTCTTTATTTAATTCGTGGGCTATAGCAGTTGTTTGCTTGTCGTACTCATGACGTTGTGTGGTAGAAATCGCTTCGAGTCGAACTTTGGAACTCGGGTTTTGTTCAAAACTCGAGTTACGTTTACGACTCGAGTTCTTTTTAGACTTGAGTCCGTGCTCCGATGACTCACGCGCGGCTCGACTCGGACTCGTGAGTGAGTGTTTTAGGCCATCGAGCCGTGCAAAATGACTCGAGTTTGTAAATGTAGGCTCCCTCGAGTTTTCTACAACACTAGTTTCAGGTATCGTTGAGGAGACCGCGGTAATGAACACATTGAAAGCGTATAAGCAAAATTTTGATATATAAAGTATTTATCACACTTATTTACGCGGAATTGGCTTTTTCATCCTTATAACATGGAAAAATAAAGCTTTTTCTGACCTACTTAAGAGGAAGTATGCCAAAAAAGTTTTGACGTTGGCTCCGCCCAAATTTGTGAAACAAATATATGCCTGAAGTTCGCGAGACATGCGACAGGAGATGTTGAATTTTGCGCATTAAAAGTACCAAATTCGTTTTAGCGGAATAACTCTAAAACTGAAGGGATTAAAAAATCCGTAGTGACAGTTGTCGATCATGCATAAATATAATTAATTATCTAATTTTTGTCCTAATAATCTGTAGTATTTCGAGGATAAATCGAAATGCGAAAATTAGAGGTCATTTCGTGATTTTTATCTATCGAGGAAACTTTATTGTTTTATGTTTCTGATTAATGTCTATGCTTGAATATATGTAATATATATGCGTGTAGTTACTCATACAATATTTTATTTTTAACTTTAAAATACCCCTTTAAAATCAAATCGAAGATTAGGAATTTTTCCTCTGCTCCCTCTTAAAGCGACTACGTGTCGGTAAGTATTGACAGATAGATAAAACGATTATTTGGGTCTACAGCTTCGAGGATGGAAAAAAGTAAACAGACACACTAGTATACATGACAGAAAATTATGTAATGCAATAAAAAAACAGCAGACTCGCACTGAGGATGGAAAAAAGACTCGCAGCACTGCCTGACACCCAGTTATGTAAGTGTACTGTAGCAGTGCAAAAAGGCCATAGTTCAGCATTGGTGTTTATTCTGGAGCAAACCGCTGATTTTCAGCGCCTGAGCTGATTTATAACGCCATGACGCCAATACATGGCTACAAAAAATAATACATAATCATTTTGGCAACATAAACTACGACTTTCGGCCACACCGCGCAAAAATCACAGCTGGGAAAATCATTCATATCCACTTTGTATAATTTGAACAAACAATAATTTACAAACTAAATAATAAAATGTATTATTATTGTATAGAAAATTCTTGAAATGTGAAACCGGAGTATGTAAGTTCAAGTAACCGCAGACACTTACGTACGTAACGTTGATTCAGCAGAAGACCCAGGAGAAGCCCGATGATACCTCCTGTTATTACAAAAGGAACGATTTAAATAAGTCTCCTAATACATGTACATTTAGCAAGAGTAGAGCTCCTTGTGAAAGAGCTCGTCCAGGGAAGTACCTTCTACCACCTTACTTATTTCTTCCGCTGAGCAGTAATATGAACATTACTGCGTTCCGATTTTGAGAGAATTAAGGGTGCTGGTGAAATTACAGGCACATCTTTACACGCATCTTTCGAATTCAAATTCAAAATAATCTTTATTTCAGCATTATTACACTTGAAATCGTCACAATGGTTAAACTGTACCGCTCATTCGTAAGGCAGATTCCCCTGAGAAGAATGAGCAAGAAACTCTAGGGGTTGCTCTTTGTTAATAACATTTGTACACATTCAACATTTACAATATTTTTTTTTATTTGAAGCATCAGAGATCGAGACTGCCTCCATGAGCTAAACGGGTTACTACCACGGATTTTTGTCGTCCAAGTACGCAGAAGTTGTCAATAACCTTTAGTATAAAGTTTTTGTTTCACTATAGTTTTAAACCGCGTGAAAAACAAATTTTGTATATCAACCGGAATCTTGTAATAGAAGCGTATACATTGCCCCTTAAATGATTTTTTGACTTTGTGAAGACGACTATCAAGAAAAGCTACTTTATTTTTATTCCTCGTATTAATGTTATGTCTGTCACTATTTTTCATAAACAAATTACTATTTTATTATACCTTTTATCATAAATTACATTTTCATAAATGTACTGTGAGGCTAGTATAAAAATGTTAAGTTGTGATTTAAAGCTCTGAGTGTCAGTCATTGACTTACAATTATATGGACGCCGCGGTCCGCGCTAAAAAGTGTCCGAACTTATAGGGCGTTAAAATCGTATACAGAGCGTCATTCACGCTTTAGTCTTCGTTTGTTCGACTGACAGCGAAGCAAGCAAAATTAGACAGTACTGCGATGACATTACAATTTAAATTCAACGTTTTAGCTTTTTCATATTCCTTTACATGTCACTACGTTTAAATAGGTTGACTTGGGACATTTTTTTCGTGGTTTTTGTATTAGACCCGTCGTTCATTTATTTGTAAGTCAATGGCGTCAGTGCATTGTTTATAGACAGGCGTGTTGCTTATCACCAGGCGCACGACTGGTTCGTTCCGTCCCGTGTTAGTATCATAAAAAAACATAATAATAAGTATTGGCGAACAACTAAGTTTAAGGGAATGAGAACGGAACGAGGTTCAAAGACCTGACTCACAAATTAAAAATAATACCTATTAAGCTTTTGAACCGTTATTTGAAGCCTAAATATTTGAGAGTAGCGAACTTGATTTCCGGTAGTGTGTCAGTTTTAGCTCGAATTTCCCTTCTACATCCCCCACCATCTAGCTTCTGCTACTGTACACCAGGTGGCGCACACACAACGGGATTGTGTTTTCGCGCCCTTCAATAGTCAATTGTATCCATAGTTATACGTTGTACAATTATATTTAAATTCTTAACGGTTTTATCGTTCGTTAATATGTGAAATTACGAATGGTACGAGGGAAGTCAATTTATCGGATATCGAATCTAGAACAGCAGAGACTAACACCGAAGTTCACGAAGTGCCACCCCGTCTGCCTCGAAAAAGAAATTATAAAAGAAATCGTTCACACTCAAAGGAACGTAGTAATAAACACCGTCGCTACCAAATGGAGGATATTTTACTCTATTTGACGGTACAAGTAAGTGGTATACAAAATTATATTGCTACTAGTAGTGGTGCATTCCAACCTACATGTCATTCAAGCGTTTATGCGCCCGATCCATGAATGAAAATGTAGACTTTGCACCCGATATCAGTGCAGATGTCAGTGGTGGACTGTACAACAGTGAAAATTGTGTACAAGAACCGGCGCAAGTCTCCGATTTGCCGGGTACTTTAAAATTTTCCTTAAACACTTTTTTGAAAGAACCTTCTATTCAAAATTCTTCACAGATTCATATAGATTTGTTAAATTCCATACAACATTTTAATGCTGAAGATTGGAATAATGCACGGTACGCTGAAGTACAGAAACAATACTGCTCCTCTCCGGGTTTTACTTAATTTCATTAGATCAACTTGTTTTTTTTTCTGTCGTGACCACATTTGCTTGCCGTGGCGACCTTTAATTGAGACCGAATTCGGCATAAGTTTACCTGTCACTGTTTCAACTTTGTTGTATTTAATTAATGTCTTGTTGGTTGTCCTAAAAATAAATACATAAATTTGCATCTCCGTTTTGGCATCTCCGTGTAGTAAAATACTATGTAATGTAGTGGATTTCGGACTTAAGAACAGACAAAACTAATTATTTAAGAAATTAAACAATTTTTCCGGATTTAAATCGTGTATATTTGGTGTTTCAAACAAACTAACGTTTCGAGCTCTTTACATGTCCCATGGTTTAATTATTTAAGTTTTATAACCTTTTTGGTGCATGTGTCATTATGTCATTGGAACCAAACCTTATTAGAGGATTTAAAAAAATCTAAGAAAAAAATAGTCTAAAAGCAACCCCTCTTCAAACAATAAAAAAAAAAAAGGTTAAAGCTTAGGAATGAAGTGCATTGTCCTGCTCTGAAGCCTTAGAAGTGTCAAATGAGATCCTTTAAATCCGCAGACGTAAACAATACCTACCCGTTAAGCTTGTACTCATGATACATTATAATAGGGGTTAAAGTATGAAATTGCCGATTTGTACTGAAAATCTA